CCTTTTAGTCATTGAAATCCTATTCTTATCTCTAAGGTGGATTAGATCTTAGTTAGCAACTAAAACCCATTGCTCACGTAGATCCTCCTTTAGTTTCTCGAACACTAAAGATCTATAACCTAGTTTTTCTCGAACACTAAGCAATATACTTAAGAAATGAACACCTCATGCCTCCTACAATCTTTAGTAATTAAGCACAATGAGCAAAACAAATAGATGAACATAAAAACTCAAAACGTTCATTAAAACAAGTACTTAATCATCCATGAGAAACCCACACCAAATAAAGTTTAGTTCATGGTAGGGTTCGAAATATCCAAGTGAATAAATCATTCCATGCAACCCAAGTAAATCGAAAGAAAATAAAGTAAAGGGATGGAGAAAACTCCCAACACGCACTGTCGGTTGCTACTCGAGCCACCACGAACGACACCTTAGCGAGCTAGCTCCTCTCGGACGCCTAGCACGCTAGACTATGGAGGAAACCCTTGTAAAGATAAAAAGGGAAAGAAAGTTGGAAGCTTTCTAGCCGTCTTACTTAGCTCACTATTTCCCTCTAAAAGAGTTCTCCCTTATTTTTGTGCCCACATTTTCTATTTATACTAAGGGAATTTCCTAGGTTTTGATGCAAAAATTCTCATAGTACCCTCAGGTACATTCTTCACATGAAGGTGGTTACAAGGGAGTCTGTGGTCCCCTCCTAGGCGGTTGGTGGCAGGAAACACATGAGTGCGTACGGCTAGCAGCTCCCATGAAAACATCTTCTTCATTTTTGTCTTTTTCTGCATACAGGAGTTGTCCCAATTTGCCTCGACAATTCTCCCTTGCTTGCCATCTGAAAATGCTACGGCATCCTCCATGTTCACCCTTTGCTTCATTGATCTGCACATCACCAGCAAAGCACAAACCTTCCCCGTAAAATAGCACCATTTACACCATAATATGCCACGACAAAGCCAAACCACCAAATGTAGTTATATGCTCCTATATGCATCTAAATGAACCTACATACACCTTAAGTGAAAAGACTCTAAATATATCATTTTTATGGAGTTATTAGTCAAATTTTAATATTTTTCAAGTTTAGTCGAATTTTGCTTACTCCTGCAAATAGTGACCACATTTGTTGTTAAGTTATATTTCACTATTACTCTTCGTACTATGTGTAAGTTGTAATTTAGTTCATGTTCTCCAATTGATAATTTTAAATTGATATAAATTAATTATATTACATTTGTACTGTTTAGATCATAATTTTTTTTTGCACCTCAAAATATTTTATTAATAACTCATAAACCTGGGTTGTGTGTCTCATTAAACTCCCTCTAATTTTAAATGGAGGAAAAGAGTATACCACAAATAGGTAAATTTTAAATTACAAAGATTTAACACAATTGAATTAGAACAGAGAGATTAAATCTACAACTTATGCATAATATAAGGACTAATAGAGGAAATAATATATCTATTATTCGTATCGATATTCATTTTCGTTTTGCATGCATCCAGGCTCCTTTTTCTTTTCTTTTTAATCACATTTTCAACTGGAATAAAAATCCTTATAAAAACTTAGTAAAGGTTTAGTTGATACCCTTTTATAAATCAAACTTGTATCAATTTAGTTTCTTGTAATGTTCCGTACTGCATCAACACATCAATTGAGTCAAGTAATGATAAAGTTTTTTTTCTTAATTATGTTTCATAATCGGAATTGGCTTCAAATATCAAGATACGTACGATTATAAAATATCATCCCCCATTTAATTATGAAAACGACTCAATATCGTACGTATCACTCCTCCTAACAAATTTGATTTCAAGACAAAATTTTCATGACGAAAATCAAAAACTTTTTTGTCATCTTAATCGTAAACTTTATATAAATTTCGTGTTTCTACCTAATTAAGAAGCTCGTTTTAAGTAAAATTATAAACCCAAGAAAGAAAAAGGTGCACGTACATACACTACGGGGGAAATTCTTAATGCAAAAGTTTATGTAAATTAATTAATTTCAGGTTTCTGAAAAGTTGTTGCCTTCGACGGAGTGAAACTAGAGAGAGAAACAATTGTAGCTTTGTTTTCTCCCATCTGCCTCCGCCGCCATGGTTAATTGCTAGTTGCTTTGCCTCCTTCAAGATGATTCGTGTTGTCTTGTCAGTAACGGTAGTTAGAGGATTCAACTGTCTTCTATTATGGAAGTGTTCTTGGATTTTGGTTTCAGTGCCATTCGTGTTTTTTTCTTTTAGAAGCAGGAGGAGTTTCTGTGTTGGATCCATTCTTGTGTTTGTGAGGTTCAGAAGCAAGCATGAAGCCTGTTTTGCGGTCCTGGGGGCAGATGGGAAGGTTGATGGAGGGCTCCTATTTTATAGTTTATCTTGTTTCTTCTCGGATTCAATAAGCATCAGATATGTTTCTGGCATTTAGGTGAATAGGTTGTGAATGTCGGCTCTTAGAGTTTCCAAGTGTTTCATGGTCTTTTTGGGCGGTCGGTTTGTTGTAGGTGGTAGGTTTCAGGTCCTGGTAGCAGCGTTTCAGCATTTTAGGTTAGTAGATTCGGGTTCAGTTTTTTCCTTGTCAGTTTTTTGGAAGCTCACTCCCCTTCCTCTTGTCGGTATAATCAAGTTGCAAGTTCGAATATAGCGGGGGTTAGTTTAGGTTCAATCTGCTGGTGGTTATCCAGTTTTATGGAGCTATGGAGCATTTTTCGTGCTGGATTAGTAGAGATGTCTGGTGTCATTCCTGGTGTTGTCGATCTGGGAACTTGTGGGGTCTTGTTCTTTCTTGCCTTGAAGGATCAAGTTTTAGTGTCCATTTTGAGGAAGCCAGTTTGTTTTTGGTTGTGCAGAGTGTTTCGATGGTACCAGAGTTTTGTTTCCGTTATAATTATTAATAGGGTTTTTCCTTCTTATTTCTTTCGGAGGTTCATGAAGAATTTAGAGAGTTCAGTGATAGCCTTGGACCGGTGATGGAGCGGAGATATCAGCAGTTTGACGGTGTTGAGTTGCTCTCTAGGTTGCAGGAGGGTTCCCTTGGAGTTGTTGGTTTCGAGGTAGTGTTTTTGTAGTTAGTTTCATTGAAGACTATCTTAGTGGTGTGGTGTTGGAGTACTGTCATGTTGCTGGCCGCATGTTATTCCTTTAGTGGGTTTTAAGGAAGTTGTCGGTGATGGTCTTTAGCTGTGCCCATACTGTCTCTTGATGGGCATTTTACTCTGTTGTTGGATGCTAGTTTCGGTCATGTTTCGGGTTTGTTGTGGTTCATTTTGGTGCTGGTTCATCCCACTGGTCCTCGTTCTTTCTTTTATCCGTGGCAACAAATGAAGGACGTTCAGGAAGAAATTTGAGTGTTGGTTGACTTGTATTCTGGTAGTGGTACGTGGCATTCAGGTGTTGAGGTAGAAGGTGAGGGTCCTTGTTCCGATGAGGCATGGGCTGATGAAGTGGATTCACTGACAGTTTGTAATGGGGGTAGCTGCGCATGGTCCCCGAAAGTCCGTTATGGTTGTTACGCATGTTTCGGTTTGCCTGAGGTGTGGTTCCTTTATCTCTAGAGGCTGTTAGTGGGTGCAAGTGGGCTTTGGTGTTGGGATTGTGTGATATTACTAAAGGTAATGCGTATAGTTAAGTTGTGCAGCTCATGGTAGATGTTTTTTGCTGTTCTTTGAGTGTTTTTGTTGTTTTTGTGTGCTTGTTGAAGATCGATGAAGCCTTGGTGTCGTGGTGTGTTTTTCAGGTTGAGTGAACCTGGTTTCTGCTACTGTTTGGTCACTCCCCATTGATGTTGTTCTGTTTGTAGTTTAGTATCGGTTGTCCTTTCTGTTCTTATTTCTTTAAGCTGATTGGATTGTATGCGTGTTTGTGTGAGTTTTGTTGTGGTTGGGGTATGCTTTTCGTGATGTTAGTGTTCATTGTATATGATCCCTTCCACCTCTAGGTTTACTCTTTTTCCTCCATTTAAGGTTAGAGAGGTTTTTTTTAATGAGGGCCTTGAGATGGTTTACTTTGCATTAGTTTATAATACAAAGTACCATCTTTCAAAAAAAAATTAATTTCAGGTGCATCTTTACTTATCAATGTGGCCGGATCAGGGCATTGAAACTGGGTTCCATTGACCTTGATTAGGGTTTGCATTTGGAAAACTATAGTGGAGTTATTGCGTGGTTTGGAGGCATGGGGCACAACATTATATATTTTAAGTAAAACGATACAAGGGCGATTAGACTGTATGCATTCTCATCCCATGGGATTAGTTGATTTTCCTTATTATTTCTTTTTTCTTCTATTGTTTTCTATTATTGATCGATGAAGTATTCAAACTTCGTTTGGATAGGAACAATATCACGTATTTCTTTGATGGTTAATCGGAAAAAAAAAATCCTCTTTTATGTTTTCTAGAATCTTTATATAAAATTATGCATTATTAATGATTAAAATTCAATGATTTTCTGCTTACGGTAATTAGTAGGGAAAAGTGGGTTAACTAGTAATTAATTTTTGTTGGCTGAAAACAAACTGCGGTCCGTTTAAATAAAGATTTAAAGCAAGCAGTTGAGAGATAACAAGTCAAATAAAATGAAATATGTATATTTTTTTCATTTCGAAAAATCAAAGTTACACAAAATGGATGAATCCATTGAAAATAAGGGCACGTCCCATAGTTTTTTTAGGGCCAATTTGCAGCAAAGCCGATCACGTAATGAAAAACCCAAAACAATCTGACTTTTCATCGTCACAATGGGTGACAGCTCGCTGTTAGACCAAAGTAAGGCTCTTCATCTTAATATTATATGCCATTTGCATGTAATTCTTAAGGTCAATGCATGTTTCGTTTTTCCTCTTGCTATCGTAGTATAAAAAAAATTCACTTTTCAAGCCGCCGACAAATAGTTTTGTTCTAATTTACGGTTTGAGAAGGTGCTAAAATTCAAACCTTTAGGTGGACCAAAACATCTATAAAAGGAGATGGAGAGATGGAGCTTTAATATCCCATGTAAACCCCAGCATTTTCAAAGAATAAAAAAACCCCATTCATGGCATTAGCACATTCTCAAATCTTCGTAGTACTTTTCGTGATTTCTTGTTTTGTTTTTCCTGTTGTATTAGGCTATAGGACCAACGATGTGAGATCGTGGTGCGGCAAAACTCCAAACCCGGTGCCGTGCGAGTATTTTTTGAGCAATGATCAAAAAAATATACCGATCAAAGATGAGCCCGATTTCCTCGAAATCTCCATGCACCTTGCCTTAAAGCGTGCCACTCATGCCGAAAGAAACGCGTATTCGTTGGGCCCGAAATGCCGAAACGAGCGTGAAAAGGCTGCATGGTCCGATTGTTTAAAGCTCTATGAGCTAACCATTCTTAGTCTCAACAAAACTGTTGACTCCAGCCCTAATCTCAACAAAGAGGATCGTCAAACATGGCTCAGCACGGCTTTAACCAACCTCGAAACGTGCCGGAACGGGTTTATCGAACTCGGTGTCCCGGATACCTTCCTCCCATGATGTCGAACAACGTGTCCAAGCTAATCAGTAACACCCTGGCTCTCAACAAGGCACCTTACAAGGAACCGACGTACAAAGATGGGTTCCCCACGTGGGTGAAACCCGGTGACAGGAAGCTGTTGCAGTCTTCGTCTCCGGCTCCTCGGGCAAATATCGTCGTAGCGCAGGACGGTTCAGGGAATTATAGGACAATAAAAGACGCGATATCCGCCGCTTCGAAGCGGTCCGGGAGTGGAAGGTACGTGATACACGTGAAGGCTGGCACGTACAGGGAGAACATTGAAATAGGAAGCAAGCTGGAAAATATTATGATGGTGGGCGATGGTATTGGGAAAACTATCATCACTGGGAGCAAAAGCGTCGGAGGAGGATCCACTACGTTCAATTCAGCCACTTTTGGTGAGTAAAATTTCGCATGATATCTTTACTGAGATAAAATTACTTCTTGCACGGTCACACTACAGTAAAAATGAACAACGGTCCTTGTCATGAAAGTATACCTTGGAAGGAAAAGGCAGGTAATATTAGTAGCGGAAACCTATGATACTAGGTTTAGACGGGGCACCAAGGCAACCACTTCTAAAACAACATCCCTCTTCACTATAACATGTTCTTCAATTAAATAATTTTAATAGATAACTGATTATTATTTAATAATATGATTTTTGTGATGAATCAGCCTACAATAACAACAAATGTTATTAATAAAATGGTTCTAATTTTCTTGGCTAAGCATCCGGGCTATTCGGCCATCCCTACATAACTTGTACATATAGCTTAGTAGATAAATATAATAAACAAAAAACAAACCTATAAATCTAAAATTAATGAGGTTATAACTCGTGCCTAATTTCCTTTTGAAACTTTTTTCATTTTTGTTTTAACTTTTATTATATATACATATATGCAAGATTCAAATATAATCATATTAATATTATTATAATATTTCATTGTTGAAATGTATTATTTTTAATGTGTTACATTATTAATTTGTTTATCAATTTTGGTAAGATAGATGAAAGTTAAATGTTGAATATAATTAGATATAATATATGATGCATTTTTATGCACAATCTCATGCATCGTCAATGAACCATGATAAATAAAATTTGTAAATTTTGTGTATTTTTCATTGAAAATATTCTAATAAATAAATTTAATTTTAAATTATTAAACATATTTACAATATCAAATCGTTAACATTTTTAGTTAAATGTAAACCATATTAAAAATTAATGGTAGGAAACATGCTGGTTAGTTCCCTTTGTATTTTCTTAAGAGTTTTTCTATAATTATTTTACTAATAATAAACTTTGATTCTTAATTAGTACTTAGACTTCTATTCAAAAACAAAATAGTACTTAGACTTTTGGTAAAACAATAAATAAAAACCAAACATCCTAGTAAGTAGATTAACTGGGTCAAAGGGGAACTATTAGTGTGTCCTATTTGTGGCAAATAAGTTACCATGAAGGCAACCTGTCTAAATTTTTTTCGTTTCCTTGTCACGTGTAAAAAACAAAAGGGAAAATAAAAGCATGGTTTGAAAACTTAACACACAATAAAATCACATTTATAGTTCTTAGAATTTCAACAATTCGACCAATGGATATTCATAGAAAATATAGCTGTTTTAGTCAAGAAAATGTTTTGAAAACTAAAACAGCATGAATCAGCGATTACATTGATGTGATTTGATCTGCGTTTTTAATTTTTGAGTCAAATTCTAGATTGAAAATGAAATATTAACTGACGTTCTTTTTTTCTTTTTGTAATAACGTCGGAATTTCAGCGGTTGTTGGAGATGGGTTTATTGGTCGTGACATTACGTTCAGAAACACCGCCGGTCCTAGAAACCACCAGGCGGTGGCTCTGCGTTCAGGCTCCGATCTCTCGGTGTTCTACAGATGCAGCTTCGAAGGGTACCAAGACACTCTTTACGTCCATTCCGAGAGACAATTTTACCGAGAATGCAACATCTACGGAACCGTCGATTTCATATTTGGTAACTCAGCTGTTGTGTTACAAAACTGCAACATATATGCACGGAATCCCCCTAATAAAACCAATACCGTGACCGCTCAAGGCCGGACTGACCCGAACCAGAACACCGGAATTATAATCCACAACTCTAGAGTTACGGCAGCCTCCGATTTAAGGCCGGTGCAGGGCTCGGTCAAAACATACCTAGGGAGACCATGGAAACAATATTCAAGGACTGTTTTCATGAAAACATACCTCGATAGCCTGATTAACCCCGCCGGTTGGATGGAATGGGATGGTAATTTCGCGCTTAACACGTTGTATTACGCCGAGTACATGAACACTGGCCCCGGTTCGTCCACGTCCAATAGAGTCCAATGGAGAGGTTACCGTGTTCTTAGGAGCGCAAGCGAGGCGTCAAGGTTTACCGCCGGTGAATTTCTCGCCGGGAATTCTTGGTTGGCTAGCACTGGTGTGCCTCACACTTTGGGGCTCTAATTTAATGCAATTGTATATGTATGAGTATGATAAATTTAATTACCGCTGGTAAAATAAATAACAGTTAAGGCTGTAAATGTCGATGTTGTCATTAGTTGTTTGTGTAATTGTAAAGTCTTATTAGTGAATAACAAAGTTGATTTCATCCTTTGTGTTCGGATATTACGTATATGTTTTTTTTAATAAACAAAGACGGCACGTCAATGACGATGTTCAATGGAATCAGCTGGTTAAGATGACAACATCAGTAAATCGCCAACCGAAAGCATATTTGTTTTTCTCTTGCAAACACAATTTGTCTGACTAGATTAGGGTTGGGTTGGTGATTGATATCTCAAGTAAGAAACTCGGTTGATGTTTGAAAATGACAAATTTGTTTTCAATTACTTTTGTGGTTTATTAAAGGAATATACACTTATCTACACCAAGAGTACGAGTTAAAATGATTTCAATTTAAGTAGGAATTCACTTATATTTTATTTATTTTAAAATAAATATTAAAAATTAGGAGTGTAACTAAACCAAGCTTGAGCGATAAAGTTGTGTTTTTGTTTATTTATTTATTTTTGAAGGCGTTCGTGTTCATACATTTAATGTTCACGAATATGTTCATTTAACGTTCGTGAGCATGCTCGGTTAATGTTTGCAAACATATTCCTTTAACGGCCACTACATCTTTTACCCTCGATTCATCTTTGCTCACTATAAAGACTTATAATACTCGTTGTCAGGATGGCAAACGGGAGGGACAAGTGCAAATACCCCTAAATCATATACAATTACAAATTACAAGTCAACATTCATGAAAGGTAAAAAATAATTAATTCAAAAATAAAAAATGACCGACCTGAAGTTAATCATATCTAGTAAGATCCGACTTGAATTTTGTCTGTCAATGATGTGACTCAATCGAACGAGATTCGACTGAAGTCCATCCGAACATAAACTAACTAGTATTTAACTACTTCAGACCTGAATCATTTTTATTGAACTAACATCTATCCGAACTGAAATTAATCGAACTAAACCTGAACTGAATCTGATGTCAAATCAACTAAAAAATGACCCGAACTAATTTATATGATCCGACCCGATTCGAGTCGAACTATCAAATTGACAACACAACATGTATCTAATTTTTCCTAACTTAATAGGATATGATTGAAACTCAACGATTACTTGAATTTACATCCCAGCCATGGTTATACCAATATTCCCCCACTGCTTTATTAGTCTGCCAATAATGTGCTTTGAAGCCAAAATCTTATGGTTCTTATTCCAATGAAAAGTGGAAGATGCTTCTGGAATTGTGGAATTCACCTTGGACCCTCTCAAACTCCGAGAATCCGCAGGGAATCGTGATTCCGCCTTGGTGGCTAAATCCATACTCCTCTTCGGCTCCTCGCAAGAGCTCGCCGAACAAAGGGTGGTTAAAGTAAATAACCGGTACCAAAACTCTATGAAAGTCACCGCCTTTTTTACCAACGTAGACGGCCAAGTGTCCTTTCGGGACTTCTCTTTGACGGGTCGTGACCAATCGAGACGTAACCCGACCCGGTTTTCACAGAGCAGAGAGATTTGGCTGCTTGTGTCAAGCAGCGACCCCAAGTAATAAGCTTCGAGAAAGGGTTTGGGTTGCAAAACGATCCGGGCTGAGTTTAGGGACGACATCCACGTGGATACCGAGATTTTCCGATGAACCGTCCGGACATTCGGACCAGCTTTTTCCCGATCTTGAAGCCTCTTATCTTCCTCATGGATAGCGTAAAACAAAAGGATGGATTTTTTCCTTTGTATGTATGTGTTTTTCTCCTACGAGCTAACAAGAATAAAGCTAAAAGGGTTTGGTTACAGAAAAGAAAAAGAGGTTTATGAAAAGGGCCAAGGATCGGCGATGGACATGGTAAGGCGAGAGAGAGTAAGGCAAACTTCGGAAAGAGACGTCGGTATATTAGACATTTTTATTCCACTCTGCAACATAGTTATTTATATGAAAAAACTGTGAGAAAGCAGTCATGGAATCAACAAACGTCAAAGGAGGAAATATAAAGAGAGAGATGACAGAAATTTTTTTATTGAATATTGAATAAAATTCTGCTTCAACCTCATATAAAGGTATGACTTATATAACCCAAGTACGCAACAAATCATAACAAACTAAGTACTAACTAATAACAAATACTAACTAATCTTTATTAACATTATAATATTCTAATATTCTCTCGACTTCTTCAACATTTTGATGAAAAGATGAATACTTGAAACGAAAGTGCGATACATCTTTCCATTCGACTTGAATCGGAAGTGTCGATGCTTTTTTCTGTTCGACTTGAATCGGAAGTACCGATGCCTCATTCCGTTCGACTTGAATCGGAAGTGTCGATGCCTCCTTCCATTTGACTTGAATCGGAAGTGTCGATGCTTTATTCCGTTCGACTTGAATCGAAAGTGCCAATACTTTCTTTCGTTCTTCTTATTCACCTTCATTTCTTTCTTCTTCATCTTCTTATACAAGGTTGAGATACTTGGCCCTAATGAATTTCCCGAAAGAAGAATTTGGATTTCGAGCTAAAAAACAGCTTTGAATTTGCTGATCTCAGGGCCTTGAATTCATTGAAATGTTTCCCCGAGTTTGTTTTTTTGGGTTTAAGCTTTTTGTCGAGGCAAAAATCATGGAGATTGAAGCCTTCAAGCATTGTTCTACACACAAAAGATTCAAACGCAAAGCACCTGTGATTTTGTTTAACGAAAACAGCACCGGTTCAATGGCTTTAGCGCTGCATCGAGATCCCAATTCGCTAACTCCATTTCCTTGATCATCAATTTCACGAAACTGCGAACCGATCACAAAGCTTTATGCAAAACTTGAAGAAAATGATTAGGATTCAACGTTGAAATCTTGTTGATATTATCGAACATCATAACGGCCCGCTAGCGTTTAATTTCTTCTCCAGGGACTTATTGAAAGCAAGGCGATCTTTGAACTGTTTATCGAGTGAATCAACCTCTGAACCTTCTGCTTCAACGTCGGATTCCAGTTCTTGATTGTGATCTCGTAAGTCTTCATCAAGCTCTGTTGTTCTTGAATTTCTGCAAGCATTAAAGTGATTTGAGGTGAAAGATCAAGCTCTCTCTTCAAGAACTTTCGCTTTAGCTCCGAGAGTGTTCTCAGTTCTTCAACGATGGCTTCATCAGCAGCCTGGACAACACCATTGTTGTACGGGTTTTGCGCCATTTGAAGCTCTGCATAAGCAGCTTTGATGGCTGTAACACTAGCGAAAATCTTCGCTACCAAAGCTTCCAACACAACTTTCTGCTTGGGATTTCCACGGGAAGAGATTTTCTGATCTGGATTTGAATTGTAACACTCGAATTTGTTATGTGATGGGAAAACGCAGATTCCAATACCATTGTTTGAAGAGAATTTTGTCGAGGACTTTAGGTTGATGACTTTGTGAAATGTTCTCGCGAGCTTGCTTTTATGGCTATGGTCGATGCCATTATTGTCGTTGTTAACATTGATGTGGTTAATGGTGGAGGCGGTGTTGTTGCAACTTTTGCTTCGAATGAAAACTGCTTTTGGTTCGAATGTTGGATCCATTTTCTTTTGAAAGATGACGAGGAATTAGAATGGATTGGAGTGGTAGAATGATGTTTGGATCATGAGAAAAAGAACTCAATCGTACGCACAACGGTGAAAGAGAAAATGATGCCAGGATCTTTTAGCGAATGATACCATGTGAGAAAGCATCCATGGAATCAACACACGTTAAAGGAGGAAATGTAAAGAGAGAGAGATGACATAAATTTTCTATTAAATAAAACTCTACTTCAACCTCATACAAAGGTATGGCTTATATAGCCCAAGTAAGCAACAAATCATAACAAACTAAGTTATAACTAATAACAAATACTAGCTAATCTTTATTAACATTCTAATATTCTAATAAAAACTAACCTTTTTCTTACGTTTTGGCCTTCTTTTTGGCAGCTCTGAAGAATTAAACTCATAATCTTGGGTAGATGTAATTGGTGGAGTGAACGGGGACAGATGGCCTTGTTTTATAAATAGAAAGCGAATCAATGAAAACTCGGCAGGTTAAAACAAAAAAAAGGGAATTTGAAAAGGTAGTCAACGGAACGGGGGGACGAAATAGAGTTCGAATTGGGCGTCGGTGTCAAATTTCACACGTAATAAATTAAGGGTAAACTACATCACAAAAGTTTGAGAATATTTCCATTTTAGCCACTTTAGTTTAAACAATTATATTATGCTAATTAAAATTATTATTTATCACAAAATTATCACTCCATCTTTAACTCTATTTCAAATGATGATGTGATATGTTAATAAAAATGATTATTTCAAATTTGACCACTAAATGATAACTAGGAGATTGATGTTGTCCTTAAACTATTATTGTCTCTTCCTCTATAAAATTATAATGGGGTTGTCATTTCTCTCTCAACCTCCTTCGTCTACCAGGGAAGAGCCTTCTACTAGAATTTGTCACGTACATATTACGTATGATTATTTCGCTAGAAGCAGATAGAAACGGGAAAAGAATTCAGAGCCTTTTAAATTGATCGTGTAATCCCTAGTGGCAATTCAGCAGTCTCTGCATCTGCAGTGATGAGCATAAAAATAGGAACAGTTGGAAAGAAAATGACTGATGGGTGAGATGATTGTAGAAGTCTTAACAGAACCTTTTGCTGTAACAAAATGCGTGCAACTGAAATCACCAGAAAGAGAAAGAATAAAGAACAGATGTATGAAAAGCTATGAGGGTAGACATGGTGTCTCCTGCATTAGTTTTTGAATGGAAATGAGAAAAGGGATTTGTTGGACCTGCTTCTTATCCCGAATAGCTATTATTCATATGTAAATTTGGTTCATTTGCATAAATTAACAGTGGTGGGCTGTCTTCTTGCTTCATTTCTATGGCAGTATGCTGCGCTTGATTATGTTTAACGTCTTCCCTGTTAACAATGAAAACATAAATCAAATCCCCATTTGATTTGGAGTGGTGCGAATGACATTTTAAAGACAATAATAATTTAAGGACGAAAATGATATTTTAGCTATAGGTCAGGGGTCAAATTAGATATGATAAAGCTAGGTAGATATATATACGTATGTTCTATATGAATTCCCCGCCATCAAGTACTCACCAGCATTTTCATATCTCCAGTTGAATGAAGGTTACTTAGTAACTGGAATAACCGAACCCGATCTCCTCATAAGAACTCAACGCTGGAATTGAAGAGCGAGGGATCCAAATTTGAACTACCGAGATCCAAATGACGGATCCGAACCTGGATCTACAAGAATCGGGTTGGGAGGAATTGAGGAAAGAAGCTCGAAAGATCGAAGGCGATCTCGATGTCAAACTCTCTTCTTACATTAAGCTCGGTGCTAGGTTCACCCAGGAGGTCTGCTCCTTTTCCTCCTTTTTTTTATTGTTACTTTCTGGAATGTGTGTTGCTTTTCTATTTTTTATTTTCCGGTAGATTACTGAAATTAGGAACAAATCTGTTGAAGAACTGAGCATATAGTATTTTAGGAATCAGGTGCTCTTTCGTTTTTTCTTCTTCTTTGTGATAATATTTACTTACATTTAGGTTATGTAGATACTGGGTCGCCACCGATCGAGTCAAGCAGATCATGGAAGTTTGAAATTGAAATTCAATCATTGCTTGAGAAACCGCTGGACATAAATGATGCTATGAGTAGATGTGCTGCATTTTCTGCACCGACTACTTCGGTAACCCAGAAACTTGCAAGGCATAGAGACATTCTACATGAGTTTACTCAGGTTTAATCCGCTCACTCTGCTTTACACACTCATTTTCTTAATTCAGATTTTCATGTTTAGTTATCAGATATTAAGAGCCCTAAAGGAATGAGCATTTCATGACATCTTGTCCTACATTGCATCTAATAAGTAAACTATGAGTGTATTATAGCAGTCATGTTTCTTCTAGATTTTTATTGGACACGGGTTTAAAGTTTAAATTGATCATCTTACTACAACATTTCTCCAAAGCTGCTTAATATAAGTTAATGTACCCATTTTCCTTGGAATTACCTGGTTAAAATGTCGCTGCTACTTTGTATGTATCAAACCAAGCCCCAAAATGCATTCATTCACTCTCAATTTCTGAAGAGCTATGGCTTGCTCAGTTAAATATTTACGCTGCAACATTACCAAACCCTATGTTTTCTTTAGTTACTTCATTTACCACTCTGGTTCCTTGCATTGTAGATTAATGTATCCATGTTCCATGAAATAGCGCAGTTACTGCTTTTGGACATTTGTTATTTGGATAAGTTGATTAGTAATCTACAGGTTTGAAGCAATGGTATAATTTTTTGTTTTAAGGAATTCAGAAGAATCAATGGAAATATAAACTCAATGCGGGAACATGCAGAGCTTCTGAGTTCTGTCAGGGAAGATATCAATGAGTCTAAGGTAGTCATATTCTTAAATTTGTTGCTCTAAGTTCCCATACTATTGTTTCCCTAAAATCACTATACCTGCCTGCATGTAGGCATCTGGGAGCATGTCATCGAGAATGCAATTACTCAGAGAGCAAGCTGCAATCCATGGGAGCATAGCTCATGTAAGATTTAATTATTTTTAATCTGTGCATATTTTTAAGAATTTTCCTCTTTTGTGTTTGTCATTAACAATTACTTAACAGCTGGGAGAGAAAATAAGTGTTACACACATACACATGACAGACTAAAGGAATGAATCTATTGCTCAGTAGGTAAAACCTTAAACTTGTGGTTTCCTGCGTAGAACCCCAAAAATCTCAATGCCAAAATTACCAGTCTCAACTCTCAAGTATGATGGCTAAAAATATAAAAGCTCTCTAGTCTCTTTTGTTTCTGGTCTTAGATTCCAAATCTCAATTACCAAAAGCTAGCTAAAGCACGGAATTAAATAATATGGAATCAAGCCCATAAAAATATAAGTAACCCCGAATAACAAATCCTATTTCCTAAAGTTGCCTATAACGAGTATACCTCCATTTTGATGGTGGCCTTTCATCATTTTGGTTACTTACTGATGCAGACCCTTTTATCTCTTGATTATCACCACAAGTGCAAATGTCTTTGTAATTGCTTTCTAGCAATAGAAGGAAATACTTTAAACTTGAAACGCCATGCAAACTTGTGAATGTTGGTTCTTCTTAGTGCTGTTACCTGCTACGAGTAGCGGCAAAACCATGGGTTCTTCTTAGTATGTGACTAAGTTCTAATTGTTCACCCCAAAAGGAAACTTTAGAAGTTGGGCTGGAAGCAGGGACGGTGAACTCAATTGATGTCCAAAACTGATTGTAGAAAGATATGCTAACTAGAATTTATGTAACCTCTCTTTCAGCTGCATACAAAAAACATGTGCTTGTTTGCACAGACACAAAAAAGCATCTGTCTACGTTCATATATATATATATATATATCTAGCAACGCCTACAGGTAATTCAGGAATCATAAAAATGCTTTACTTTGGGTTTTTTGCTTTATAAGATTGGTGTTGCATATAGAAAAGTGCTCTATGCTTCCAATTGGTAAATTTTTTATTCCTAGCTTTAAAACCATGTAACAAGATAAATTGTAATTTTGTTTTAACATCCATTTCTTACCAGTATTTTTGTTTCCTATAGATAGATGACGTCATTAATCAAGCTCAAACGACAAGGGCTGTGTTGGGCTCTCAAAGAGCTTTGTTTGGAGATGTTCAAGGGAAAGTAAAAGTTCTAAGTGCCAAGTTCCCTGCCATTCGCGGTTTGCTTGGTTCTTCATTGTGCATCTTTATTGCAGAGATTTTATATACATGTAGTATAATTAAAAGTCCCCTATATCCTAGGTTCCATAAAGAGGAGGCGTTCAAGAGACACTCTTATTCTGTCAGCAGTTATTGCTGCTTGTACATTGGTCCTTATTATCTATTGGCTCTCGAAGTAACTAGAGAAACGAGTTGTTAAAACGCGGATGTCATAAGTGGTGGTGTTTCGCGATTAGAACAGAAAGTCACAAGTTTCTTTCTTCTGCAAATTATTTGCATTTGACGTAGTCAAAGGGTGGTTCATCATCACGCTTCATCGTTGAGTCAATTTCGCTTATGGTCACATAGGGCCTAGTAATAACCTGATATGAAACTTATCTATCAGCATGGCTTACAAGTTTTTTTGTCTTTCATAAACGTGCATGACTTCATAAAATCTCGTGTCCTTCACGTGTTGTTGGCATCTTGTTTTGCCTGCCTGGATTGCTTTTAAAAGCCTTGATTTCGCTTCTGTTCTTTGTGCAGCTGCTTCCTGGATCTTGTGCAAAGTGTTATTCAATTTTCCTTCCTTTACTCTTTCAAACACATTGGGCGCTTCCACATCGTCCAGTGGGGTGCTTTCATCAATATCTTTATGCTTTCCATTAGTTTCCTTATGAATTACAGCTTTAATCTCTTCCTTTGCTCTTTCAAATATGCTTGGTCTTTTTACACCCTCATCTGAGGAGTATGATTAATTTGGTTTGGGTTTTGCCATAGCACTGGTAGATTCCGAGACTGGGATAGGTCTAAATATAATGTGAAAGTCGCAAGTTTTCTTTTGCCTCCACCAGAGTGGAATCATGCCTAGGCTTATTAAATTTATATCCTATGAGGCTGATTTTAATATTAAAATAAGCTATATCATAACACCCTAATGAAATTAATAGTCGAATGATTACAAAATTAATGTATAGAATTTAATTATTAAATTAATTTTTTAAAAAAATAAAATTTGATTGTTAAATTTATAATTTACCCCTTTTCTTAAATAATATTGTTTTAAGTATTGCGTTTTAATAAAATTAAGGATTGACAAAAAATAATAATAATGAAATTAAGGGTAAATTATGCATTTAGTACATAAATTATCAGTTTTGGTCTGTTTTAGTATATCGACTTTCAATTTTTTTAAAACCATAACTAATGTTTAGGTTTTGTTTCATTTAAATACCACCGTTAAAAACCTAAAATGTTTAGTAACTAAATAGTTTTGGTCCTTTTTAATATCTATACTTTCAATTTATTTCAAAACTTAATGTTAAATTTATAACATGATAATAAAATGAAACAAAAAATGAACATTAGATATGATTTTGAAAAAATAAAAATTTAAGTACTAAAATGATTCAAAACTAATAATTTATGTATTAAACGTATAATTTACTTTAAAATCAAAATAAATCTCATTTCCATCAAGTAGCCGTATACAAACTCTGTAGTCATCGATTTAACTCGTACGTATTTATCATGAAATAGTGAATGTATAGTCCTTGTAACTAATTTCCATGTTTATTTGACCAGAAACTAGTTAGAATCAAACTACATTGTCATCTGTGAAGCATCAAACAATAATTGAGCAATTTATAAAGAAGCCACCGATTGACCCAAAGACTACTAGTAGTCTTCATCCACATGTATTAAAGCTGTGTGGTGCAGGCAGCTGTCCCTCTAGATTTTTGGACAAATCCTGAAAAAATGAAGAAGATGATGAAGAAAGTTAAAAAAAATGGGTCACTTTCTGTAACCCAGAGCCCCACTTGCATCTTTTCTTTTACCGTTTTCCACTTAGATCTGAGAAAAGTCACTGTTATACGTCTTGTCATTTTGCAGTTTGCACAAGAGGGAGAACAAAAATCAACCAAAAGGTTAGGATTTTAAGGGTTTTGGGGGAAAATGGCCAGCCCTTTTCCTTTCAGTCAAGACCCTGTAATTAAAAATGCAATTTTTTGAACTTTTTATAGCTTAGCTTTACACTAGACTAGACTACAATGACGTTCGAGTATACAGAAAAAGGATAGAACACCTCCAGCAGCAGCAGTTGGCAGGCGCCGTTTCTCTTTTCTTGAGCTCTCATCTTCTCTCTCATTGCAAATATCGTCAAAAGCCCTGGACCAAGCTCTCTCTTCTTAAGTTCAAACAAGAAATTACCATGGTGAGTGTCTTGTGTTCTCTTTTTACTCGTTTTTAATCTTTGCCGAGAGCTAATTGAATCATGTTTTCATTTTTACAGGTGTTTTCTTCTCATGCACCTCGTTGGCTTCAAGTTCTTCTTACTGAGAAATTCTTCAAAGCTTGTATAATCCATGAAGACGCCAAGAAGAACGAGAAGAACATCTTCTGCTTGGATTGTTGCATGAGTATATGCCCTCACTGCTTTCACCCCCACAGCTCCCACAGGCTCTTACAGGTTTCTGTTCACAAACGAACATCGCTTTTGTTTTTTTTGCTTTAAGTTCGTTAACAATTATCTCGTTTTGCAGATAAGAAGATATGTATACCACGATGTTATTAGATTGGACGATGCCACAAATTTAATGGACTGTTCCTTTGTTCAAGTAAGTCACTCTTCTACCTCCTTCAAAGCTTTGAATTTATGTTTTTATTTCAAGGTAATTTAATGGCTTTCGTTTTCTTTGTTTTAGTCATACATAACGAATAGTGCAAAAGTGTTATTTATAAACCAAAGGCCACAGGCGAGACAGTTCAGAGGCTCCGGCAATTTCTGCACCATCTGCGACAGATCCCTGCAACACCCATATCTCTTTTGTTCTCTCTCCTGCAAGGTTCCTTTTTTTTTCCTCTTCAATTTTGGTCCTTTTTTGCTGACCATTTTAAAATCATGATTCGACCCCCGTTCTTTTTTTTTTTTGCAGGTGAATTATTTGTTAAGAACAGAAGATGGGCTGTCCAAGTTCCTGTTCGAGTGCAATTATTTGCCTTAAATTATTCCAGTTTGGATACACCTGACTCGGTCCTTGAACCGTCTGTTTCGAACAAAACGTCGTCCGGGTGCGGCGGATACGACGACGTGTGGTGTGGAGCGCTTGCTTCGACCGCTGCGACGTCGGAGATCGTGAGGAAGAAAAGGACAAGCTTAACGGTGTGTCGCCGGACTTGTCCGCCGGAATCGGAAGTTCCGGGGAGTTTGATGAACAGGAGAAAGAAAACTCCACAACGAGCTCCACTGTATTGAAAAACTCACTCGTCTATGGGAGTAAGAGAGGTAAGTGGAGATTTCGACATTGATGGTATTATTTTTGAATTCCAGGCAATTTACTGATTATAATTGGAATCTCCCCACTCTTGTTTTTGTATTACTACACTCTCCTCTCACGTAGCAAATTGTTCATCCTCTTCAACGGAAAAAAAATATTATTTCCCAAACTACTGTATCGTTGTTTACATTATTATATTTCCCAGTTCTTATGTATACTTGGGGTTGAATTAATCAGTTCCATATGATGGGATAATTCATGATTTTAATCACTTCCAAAATCATTACTAATTATAATGAAGGTTGAAATCCAAAGATGAGAGATCAAAATATCTATCGTATGTTTCTGGTTCTTTGTTCCAGGACAATATTCAAGTGGTGGGCACATGCTATTAAACTATTTATTGTTTTTCTTCTCCAATGGCTCGGCATTTGAGAAGAAGAGAACTATCCTATATACTTCCTATTAAACTAATATTCTTTTCATATTTTTTCCCAATAAAATATTTTTAAGACATACCCGGTGCAATGAATAATGACATCTGCATCAACAATTGTTCCATCTTAAAGACTACATTACCATCCTTAAAAGTTGAGCAGCTTAATAATTTTAAATTAATGGATGAAATGTATAACAAACCATTGAATGCTGCCATGCATTATCATAATTGTCCACCTTTAACAAATTAAAAGGTGTTCTAACAGCCATGTGAACTTGTTTTGCAAGGGGAGAGATCTCTTTCAAAATGTCGACGGCATTGGTCCGTTCCCAATGAGCACCACTGTCTGTCGGCAAATACCATAATCAACTTGTTTTGCAAGATGTTTGGTTTGATGATACAGAACTTTAATTGATTGCAAATGGTTCTAATACCTTATTTTCGAATTGTTGTGGAGTACGATAGTTATGGCTATGCATCTGCAATCCTGGCCAAACATCCCTGCCTGAAATATTACGAAACTTGTATTTTATGTATGAGGAATCAAAGAAGTTTACGTGATCCAATTATTCAAATGGCATGAATGAAATACGTACCTGGGAATTCTGCAATATATGGCTCCGTGTAATTACCATTGCAGATAACCACAGCCTCGAATACCTCTTCTTTCAGTTCCCATGTCGACTCAGTCTCCCGAATCCTCGACTCAACAATCCAGTCGTGACTTATCTCATCAACAAGCTCCACCCGAACCACTTCATGTCCGAACCGAATCAACTCTATCAACCCAAAATCCATGGCAAAATCCTCAAGAAACCTGAGGACCTCTTCGTGACCCGGAAACGACCTCGGATCCTCACTCGAAGGGATCTGTACAGGCTACTATGAACTATTCACGATTCGGGTCAAGACCCAGTGGGTCGGTCTCCACCCGTGGATCATAGAGCCAAATACCATCAACTTTGTTGGCCTTTTCGAATACAGTGACATGGTGACCTTCTCTTTGAAGCTCCCTGGCCTTTACAAGCCCAGCACCAGCTCCGATCACCGCTACCTTATAAGATTCTCCCATTTTCACCACTACTATAACGATCCAAGCCTTGCAAATTTGACAAAACTAACTTATACCACCTTTTTATGGAGAGCGGCATTTACATAACGCATTTATATAGTTTTTCTTGGTGGTTGCTACAATGTGTATAATTTTGGAAAGGCGTGTCATCTGCTGCAGCGTATGAACAGTTCTTGAGGGACCCTTGTTTCTGGACTGTTGACGTTGAACTCCAGTTGCGTTGCTCATGCCGCTTCACCTGGGTTTCATATCAAATGCATGCCGATGAAGTTCGTTAACCCTAAATCTCGGATTATACAGCCTAAGCATGCATGCCTATGCATGCTTCTCCCCCAACAACTTTTTAGTTAAGGGGTAAACCATGCACTCCACAATAAATACTTCATTATTATTAGGTCTCTCACAAAATCATATCTAA